TACCGGAGGTTATGGCGTATTTGAATGGTATTATGTTTCCGCGTATATTTAACATACAGAACCTTGTCACCAAGAGTTTGTCCTGTATTCTTGCCGTAAGTTCTGGACTTCCTGTAGGAGCAGAGGGACCACTCATTCACATAGGCTCCCTTATTGCTGCGGGGCTTCCAACGGGACGCAGCCGCACTTTGAGATGCGGTGCAGGCTCATTGCTTTCAACATTTCGAAATCCACGTGACATGCGCGATTTTATATCTGCAGGTGCGGCTTGTGGCATGACATCGGCCTTTTCTGCTCCCATTGGTGGAATGCTGTTTGTGATGGAGGAAATGGCGACCTTTTTCTCCGTCCGACTCGCGTGTTTTGTGTTTGTGTCATGTCTTTCATGCATGTGTGTCATCCAGATCATAAATACCTATTTAATTGGTTGGCAGATCCCAGTACGTCAGCCCGTGTCCATAGGACCTGGTGAGTTTCGCCCCCATGCAATTTCCATGTTTATTGTAGACGTTGTGAAGGGAAATCGTGTGCCGATGAATCTTTTCACTTTTGTTTCAACAATGGTGGGAGCCATTGTTCTTGGGCTTTTGGCCGTATCGTATACGGTCTCAAGTGTTAAGTTTACACGATGGCGTTCAAAACGACTGTTCCCGAGTCCCTTACTTCGTGTGTTGGAGCCATGTATATGTGCTCTTGTGTATGCAACGGCATGTTATACGCTTCCTTTAGCCTTTGATTGCGTTGAGGTGCCGGATTACGTGAAGAAGCACAAGGAAGAACTTCGTATTGAACTGTTCACAGCCTTTTGTGCGGATCGTGAGAACACCTTTAGCCCTCTCGCTACACTTGCATTGACCAGCCCGTACAATGGCATCCGTCTCTTGTTTTCCCGTCATACGGCAGCGGCGACGCCATGGTACGCATGTCTACTGCACCTTTTGCTCTACACACTAGGTTCCAGTTACGCGGGTGGCATGTTTATCTCCTGCGGAACAGTCATTCCGTCGCTCTTTATTGGCGCCATTGGAGGACGATTGATTGGCGTCATTTTCAACAACAGTGTATGGGCAGATCCGGGTGTGATTGCGTTGATAGGATCCGCTTCCTACTTCTCGGGCATCTCACGTCTTTCCTTTTCTCTCATAGTTATTATGATGGAATTGACCTCCGACCTGACACACATCACGTGCCTCATGGTTGGTGTGATTCTGGCCAGGGCCGTGGCGGATTGCTTTTGTCATTCACTGTATCACTCCCTGCTGGAGGTGAAGGCGGCGCCGTTTCTTGAGATTCAGGCAGGTGTGCATAAGCTGGACATGTTTTGCGCAAAGGACATCATGACTTATCCTGCCGTGACGTTCGAGATGATAGAAAAGATGTCCCACATAATACAAATACTTCAGTCCACTCCACACAACAGCTTTCCTGTCATGTTGACATCAAGTGGCACATATGAGGGTGTTATTTCCCGCTCACAGTTGGAGCTTCTTTTGTGGTTTATTTACTTTCGCGACGTGGAGGGGGAGGGAGGCAGCGAAATTCAGAAAATATCAAAGAGCCGCACTTTAAACAGCGATGTTCACAAGAAGAACAGGGGACTTCGGCAGGAGGGACGGATGGCGGTGGATGATGAAAATGACGGCGGTGAGAAGAATGCCTCTACAATTCCCCCCAATGCCAACGGTAACGCGGAGGCCTCGAGGCAACGGCTTGAAAGACAAGGACACGCGACTTATTTGGAGCTGGCGGAAGTGAGAGAGCGAATCTTTTGGCGACGTCTTCCGTCTTTGCCACCGGTGGAACTTTTGCCGACGGCAACGATGCAGTGCTACGTGGATCTCTCCCCGTACGTGGATCTGAACACTTACTACGTGCGGGATGTGATGTGCATCTCGCGGACGTACCACATCTTCCGCCACTTGGGGCTGCGGCAGTTGCCGGTGGTGGACCAAAATCACCGCGTAATTGGTGTCATCTCGCGCAAAAATTTTGTCGGTGATCGAATGCATGAGCGGCTGCAGGTGGCCGAGGAGGCTGCGAAGCAGACCGCGCATGAGAAGGCGCAGCAACTGTACAGGAAAGGCTTTTAGAAGAAAGGAGGAAGGAAGAGTTGGCGCTTAGTGGGGTGGTAATAGTTAGAGGCGAATTAAGTGAACATTAACGGCCAAAAAGCAAACAAACAAAAGGTGCAAATGTTCGTTGGACGGGCGGGGTCGGGAGAGATGGATGGAGGGGTGCGGAAAAGAAGAGGGCAACGGGGGAAACACATGAACGGAAGTGTCTGGAAATTTTCTCCACTTCACGTTCTTTTTTTCTTTCTTTTTTGCACACGACACGCTTTTGTTTGAGCGCCTGTTCGTCACGTAGCGGCAACGGGCGTGGGCGGCTTCTTGTTTGTTCGTTCTCGCTCTGTCACTGCGCTGTTTTTGTTGCCACCTCTCCCCCTGCTGTGATGACACAATAAAAAGTGTCCCCCAGGCCTCATGGTGTTACAACCGTGTGCCTCAGTAATACGCGGCTGGTCGACGCCGCCAGCCCTGTGTCAACGACAACAATCCCATGAGGGAAATATTGCTGTCTTTTGGTTTCCCACAACAGAAAGAGGGCAGCGCGGCTTTGGCAAACCACGTTGAGGTAGTCGAGCCTTGCCAGGGGTCCTTATTCTTCTCCCATAGGAGATGACGGTGAGGGGAGAGGGGAGTGAAGTTATCGCTTTTTGTTTCAAATCTGCTCAAAAATTTTTTTTTATTAGTGGTCTTTTCCCTATCCGCTGTTTCTGTATGCAGTGCACAGGAGGACGGGAATGCAGTTTGATCGTGAGGGGAGTTACGAAACAACAACAACAACAACAACAAACATTTAAAAAGGAGACCGTGAGGCCCCGCGCTCCTTTTTGTGTGACTGCTTTTTTTTTTTTTTTTTGTGCCGTCATAGTTTTCTACGCCTTCTCTTTCTGCCTCTTCTTATTTATTCCAATATGTTAGCGCGACCACATGTTGCGGGCTTGCGGCATCACGGAGTTTTTTCTTCCGGTGGAGAAGCCAGCAACCGCGCGGATCAAAGAGCGACCAGAGGACTTTATTGTCGTGGAGGTCGACCCCACAGGCGCTCGAACCGACGCGGAGGATTATCAGCTCTCCATTGCGGCCGCGCCTCTCTTTTCGGAAATCCACCCACATAACGCGACCACCTCTGCCGCAGCTGCTGTTGATGGGGATTATGGCGATATTAACGATGACGCTGAGCTAACCGCGTCGTTGACCGGAAGTGATATTTTCACGGATGCCACACGAGAGAAATTGCTTGCAGTGTTTGGCAGCAAACGCGACGCCATTCTTCAGTATGCCTCGGGTACCTTTGAGAATGACCCGCATGGGGGTGCGGGGGAGTACCTTGTTGCGGTGCTCAACTACAAGGGGGATCGACGGCGCCTGCATCACGCACTGAAACGTGCCTTTCCACACCTGCGCACTGAAACACGGCGCGTTTCATCCTCATGCGGTTCTTCTGATTCAGTTGATCATCACGTGGTCGCCATGTATGACACCGGGTACCTTCTTCTTGCACACCTTTTAGGCGAATCTGCGGCGGAAAGTGTTGAGGCATGGAGTGATTCGGTGCCACGCAGCGATACGTTTTGCATTGCAGTCAACCTCCCACCGGAGACGACGAAAGAAAAGCGACGTGCACTTCATGAGTTGATATCCCGGCGTTATCCGGGTCTCGTGTGTCTTGTCGCAAATGGACAGGTGACGCTTAAGGTCTCTTCGACGAGGCACCGGGAGAAGCGCGCCCTTGATGATGTCGATGACGCCCCGTCAGGTTTGTTCACGCACCTCGTTGTTCGAAAGCGGGACCTCGACATGATGAAACTGAGGCTCCTTTTGTCGAGGCAGTTTGACGTTTCCGAGAACGCCGTATGTACAGCTGGGCTCAAGGACAAGTGTGCCGTCACGTACCAACGCTGCTCCGTGCCTCTATCGACCCAGAATTCAAAATCAAGGGTGCAGCACGGTGAAACAGTTCGTCTGGTATGGCCTGGCGATCCTTCAAGCTACGCCGAAATCCTGCAGCTTTTGGAGCCATGTTCTACCCCTGTTGGCATTGGCCAGCTCAATGGAAACTGGTTCAGCGTGCGTCTCGTGGATGTGCGGGGGATGACCTTTTGCGAGCTTGTCCAGCGTGTGCGGCATATTGAATCAAATGGGTTTTTAAATTATTTTGGTCAACAACGGTTTAGTGAGCATGTGAGTAGCACGAAGGATCACGTCGGTGTGCACCTGATGGCCGGGAGGTGGGCGGAGGCTGTGCAAAGCATACTGAGCTGTGTGCCGGGAATTTACGCTTCTTTCCCTGAACGCATGAAGGTCCGTTATGTACAAACAAGCGCACGTGATGCTGTGTACGTTGTAAAGGCACTACAACGGCTGCATCGAACGCAGTATGCATCTTCATCAAACCCGCTTTGTATGGATGATGTTGCTAATTGTACATCCCGTTGGCAACAATTGTGCCACGACGCACTTTTATCGGTCCCATACAATATTCGTGTGTTATGGGTGAATGCGGCCCAAAGCCTTATTTTTACATTATGCTTTCTAAGCTGCATGGTATGGATTCCACCATGGGGGCGGTAGAAGTGCTCCTTTTACTGGGCCACCAGGTGACGATTGAAGAGCCTGTGCGTTAGGTATTTGAGCAGACATTGACGGAGCTAGAAATCAAGGAGGCAGACGTGCTCGAGCAGAAGAAAGTCCTTGGCGTGCCGATTCCAGGTGCGGTGCGCCAGACGGTTGTGCGGCCCACGGGATGCCGCCTCACTCTTGAGGGGAATGACGAGGGGGACGCAAAGAATGGATTTGACGCGACGGTTGAATTTTTCCTTCCGCCGTCTAGCTACGCGACAATCTTTTTGCGGGAGGCTCTGGGGTTTGACCGTTGTTGGTAGACGTCTGGGATCCTCCCGCCGGTGCCGAGAGGTTGAGGATGAAGGTGCATCTCCGCAGACCGTCTTTTTTTTCTCTTCCTTTTATTCTTGCGGCATAAAAATGGGGTGGGCGAGGGGCTCGCCGGTTGTTTACATGGATTTCTGTATTTTTATTAAAATTTTTTTTTTGTTTGCTTTCTTCGCCAGTGTTCTTCTCTCCTGCATTTTCTTCCTCATGTGCGGCATTCTTTCTGCTTGGCGGCGTGCTGTTTCCCGGGGTGCCTGGATTCGAGGAAAGCGAAGAAGGGGGGAGGAGGAAATAACGAACGAAGGACGCGAGTCAAGAAAGACAACCGAGGGGTGAAGGCAAAAAAGAGGATCAAAGGGGGATTTTGGGAGGGGCGGTTTGCGTCTGTCCCGCTTTGGTGTTTTCTCGCTTCCGCCCATTTTTAAAATTTTTTTCCACAATCCGCGCGACGTCACGGGTGTGTGTTTGTTCTTTTTTTTTTTTTTTTGAAGTGGAGTGACAATGAGCAGCAGCGGTATGCATTCGGGATTATTTACACTACACTTCACGCCCATATGCACTGCGGGTGAGGAAAGGGCCACGGCGTCAGGCAGCATGTCGCCTTCTACACAAAACTCCGCGGAGTTTGGCGACTGGCATATTCTTTTGCGTTTTGCCGTTGAAAATGAGGTGCTTTCGGTACGGCCGCGGGGGAAAATATTCGTGATGGGGAGTGAGTGTGGTACTAGCGGCGGTAGCGAGGAACCCGTTGCAATCCCTGGATTGGGCCGTGTGCCACGACCTGTGAAGGACAGGCATGCCACCGTGTTGATGCGCTGTCATTGCCACTGGCAGTATAGCGAGGCCTTCCGCTTTGACGTTTGTTTCGATCAGCTTGATGGGGCAATCGTGGGTGTCAAGGGGAGGACACTAAATGACGTGATCATTAGCTGTGAAGGCAGCCAGGCGTACGGATGGTACATTGGCGAGGCAACCGTAACCGTCGAGGGGAAGCCTTTTACGTTACCACATCGTCTGCGGTTTGTTTTGGATCCTTACGTGGGGGCCCAGTGTACGATGTGCCTAGACCCTGTCTACGCACAGGGTTACACGTGCACGGAGTGTGGGGCGGTGGAGTACTGTTCAAAAAATTGTCAGATGGCACATATGAGTGGTCAGCACGGTCTGCTATGCTCAATTCTTCGTCGTACATATACGCAGCGCTCAGGGAAAGTTTTGACGGAGACGGAAAAGGGCACGGAGCTGGTAGCGTGGTGGCGCTGCTTGGAGGATGCGTGCTACTCCATTCTTGTCGATTTTCACAATACCCTTGGACAACCCATTGAGTTCTTCCTTTGCACGTGAAATCGGCACAGGAGGA